GAATCAAAAGATAGAAGTGCATTATGTAAACGAACCTGCAAGAAAAGAGCAAAAGTTAAATAAATAAAAAACAGAAGAGAAAACCACGATGCAAATTTATAAAGCAAAAACAGAGAGGTAATGATTTGGTTAAGTGTTATCATAAAAAAAAAAAGAGAAGAAATTTATATATGAACATCGTTGAGATCATATCGTTAATTTAGGGTTTATTAGTCAGTAACATGATAGAAAAGATCAGTATCCCTATCAATATATAGATACAAAAAAATATAAAAAATATCAACAAGTTAATCTCATGGCATGATAACTTGAGACATGAATCTATAAAAGAGGACCTGAAAGAATCATAAAAAAAAAAAAATAAGTTGATATCATGGCATGATAACTATCATCATAAGATATATAGAAAAGAATAGAATCATAAGATTAAAAAGATCGAACATATGTTTACCTAACACCATGACGAATCTGTATATAAGAGACCACAACAATTATTTATCATTAAATAAATATACCAAAACTTTTGCACTTCTCAAATAATAGGTATATTCTTTTTTTTAAAGCATGTATTATTTAATTGTTTTTAATTCGGCAGTCTTCTTATACAAACCAAACCGAATAAACTAACCGTTTTAGATTTTTGTTCGGTTCAATAGGCAGTTTTTATTCTAAACCGAAAAAACCGATTGCCCAGGGGACTATGTAGTCTCTCATCCGCAGTACCGCAGCTAAAAAAAGACCTAATTTACTCCTTTGAAGTCTCCGAGTTTCTCCACCGCCGTAGAAACCATGACCAGCGATGTCGCTGGTAAGAGCTCCATCACTATCTCTCGCTCGAAATTATTTGTCTATATCTGGATTAGCTTTCGTTTCATTTATCTGTCCTAATACACTAGAGGGTCTAATCAATCTATTAATTAGAGTATTCACGATTTTGGTTTACAAGTCCACAAGTTTAAATGTTCTTGTATCACAGCCTCAAATCCCATCCACACAGCTAGTTGTTGATGCAAGGAAAATATGGCTTTGGGAAAAACCCTTTCGACCATAACTTCTTAGGTGTCGACGCTTGTGACTTTTGTTTAATCCCTGTAACAGAAGACGGAAGACCCTAACAACAGAAGGTCACACCAACTTGGGAGTAGAGAAACCCAAGGGAGACGGGAACTAGCTTATTTATTAAACTCATCTACTTCATGTTATGTCTTTTTAGTGTGTTATTATGTTTGCATGTTTCTTTCTTTCATAACTTGTGTAGCTGAAACCCTACGCCTATCTAGTTGTCCAAAAACGTATGTTTGTCTATGCTCCTTACTTTAATAATTTGGAAGCTCTACATATCCAATATTTTCAAGCTTTGATATCTTGCTAAAATATTACCACTACTAATAGGCGTAGATTTTCGTTCAGACAGGCGTATATGTTCATATATACATAGCATGGTAAACCAAGAATCTGCCTGAGTATTGGAATAACCATTTGCTTAGAGCTCAAGCTTTTTCAGAGTCAAGAGCCTCAACATTCCATGAATCTCTGTTTAAATTTTCTCTCCAGCAACAAACTTTCCAGAGAATTTAGCTCTCTGTGACAATTCCTCAGATATCTCAGGCTGTGCTCTTCTCTGAAAATCAGCAGCTTCTTATAATCAATCAAAGGAGTTTTCATTCCTTTGTCGAGCATCTCCTCTAAGTACCGACACGCCTCTCTGGACTTCCTCTCACCTATAAGCCCTCTGATCAAATCCGTGTAGGATATCGTCAGTACAAATCCCTCTCTTGACCATCTCTTCCCAAACCGCTCTCCCCATCTCATAGTTTCTCGCCATGAAGCATGTTGAATGTGTGTATCCATGGCTCGATTCCATTATGATTCATCTTGCTGTAGATCCTTGTGGCATTTTCCGACTCGCCATCAGTTTGATCAGCGAGTTATACGTGTAAGTTTGTCCATAGATAGGCGTATAAATAAAAACTCGAATTCATCGATGACGAATTCATAGATGCACGGCCAAGTATAAGTTTGTCCATGATCTTGACAAGAAAAGGAAAGACTTGGATGTTTATGAACCAGTGGTGGATCTACTAACAAATGAGGACGTATGCGCTCGAAGCCAGAGAAGAGAGACGTGCAAGGTAAAGAGTTTTGCGTACATGTACAAATACTATTTAGGC